ACGAGCAAATTCAGCAAACGTCCTCTGGTTAGAGGGTTTTCGATATGGTAAGCTTCGCACCTTAGTCGGACCTCTCCGTTAGCCCATGGTAAAATGAGATAGAAATATGCTCATCATGGAGTTTATGAATTTGGGGTGATCAAGCATTCAAATCGTCCAAATATTCATCCATGCTCCCTGTTTGATTCAACGTTTCAATTGATCATATACACTCCCTTCCCCCATTCCTCCTTAACGTTTCAAGCAACTCCTTCAAATTATCCCATGACAAAACCTCATAATTGTTACCAACGAGTTTGAAAAAATGGATTGTCCTCCTTCCATGCACAAATTGAGCCAGATTACTTCACCATCTCGCTGGTCCTCCTGACCTTAAAGTAAATCTTCGCTCTCGGAATCATCCCGCAAGGTCATCGCCATTAATGTGGTAACTCAATCCTTTTTATGATTGTCGAAACTCCGCCAGAGCATCCTCGTCGTAAGGCTGTTAGACTCCTCCAACCTTGGTGTTTTCCTTAGTTCTCTGTTTTTTTTGTTCCCACCGAAGCTTCAACCTCTTCATTATTTCCTCTTTCAAAACTCACTCGTCACCAACTCCATCATTTTTGTCTTTGATTTCTGCAGCTTTTCTTTTCTCACTCTCTTTTTATAGTGCTGAATGATTCTGAGATGCTTGCAAAGCAACTCTCCATGATCGCTTGTCATTTGAATAAAACTCTTCAACAACCCTTACCTATCCTCCATAGTTCCCGAACACCATGCGTTGCCCCTGAGTTTTCTGCTGTCTGCTCGAGTGTTACCATCATCCTCTATGAAGTAATCCGATGGTCGGATATAAATGATAGGACACCGAACAGGACCACAGTAATAAAATAAGAGGAAAAGAGAATAAAGAAAGGATCACAGATCCTATTTCATTGAAATTCAGGCAAAAACAGAAGGAATAACCCTACTGCCAAAACCTAGGCTCCTTTAAGGACCAAAAAGGTACTCTCCACTCTAATTTTGTTCAAAACAGGAATGTCAACCCAACACTCCCCTAACACTATAACGGTAATAACAAATAAGGAAATCTTCTAGGATCCCCAAGTTCTCTCTCTCTAACTCAATTTTGTACCACCTCAGCCCCTTTATTTTTTTCTCCGATATAAACTTGTCCCCATTTCCTTTGCTCTTTTGTTCTTTGTGTCCAATATATTGTTTGGCCGCAACCAAACTTGCTTTTGGGCTGTATCACTCTGCTTTTGCTTCTTTAATAGTTTTTGAAGTAAATACAATATCATGTGCAAGTAACAACATAATTTCAATGCAATTAACACAGCAAGCATTCAATGAATTATAAGAACTGAAGAACCTTCACATATTCTTTCCAGCACTGACCAATTGATGAAATTTTCTCTTGAAGGATTGATTCCCCTTTATTTTGAGGAACAGATGAAAAAAACAAGGGGTACGTGGCAAAACCTGTCAGATTAAATTTGAAAGCATTTAAGCAGACATATGATGAAAGAAAACGTTATGCGATGAGTGTACATATAAATACAAACTCAAATCTAGAAAGGTATTATTGCAACAGTAATTTCTAAAATTAAAAGTGAATGTCAAAAAAGAATATAAGCAAATTGAAGACATAGTTGACATACATACTTGTAGGTAGCGCTACCAGTGCCAAAAGAGACAAAGTCACCATCCTCTAGTGGTGTTTGTTTGTTTGGTAGCTCATGAACTTTTTTCCTCGGCCCAACATTTTTGCTAATAAATGTCCCATACTTGGAGCAATCTCTAATATGTATGTTGCGTGAGAAATGAGAACATTCATTTGATAAAGGATTTACCAGGTTCATTGTATTAACAACTATTTCTGCATGAACCCGAGAAACACCTTTATCTTTAGTGATTATCACGTCACAACCTGTAAGAAGTTAGACGCAAGTTTATACAAAAGCGTCACCATGATATTCAAAAAAATCAATAATACGTAATAATCATCATAAGAAAAAGCTTAAAATTTGTGAATGAAAAATAAATGGGAGAAACATGTCATAACAATCTAATCTGAGAGCCATCTCCATGTCATTTTGCTCTATAGAGACAGCACTTTAGCTTTAAAATTTAGTTTACTTTATTTGCTTTATTTCAGTTGCATGCATTTTAGTCCTACGAAGAGGAGAGAGGGAGCATCAAAATATGTTGTCAGGAAGGATCTCATGATAAATAATATCTCTAGAACCTTGGTCATTAATTGAGCAAATGCCAACAGACCTCCCCACTTTTGGAATAACATTTTGTGGTAGTGATTGTGTTGTTGTTAACTTGTTTTTATTTCAGTTAATTAGCTCAAGTGCACCAGTCCTTCACTATGGTTCTGTCCTAAATCTGGACAATGCATGGTATTGCTGTAGTTTATGATTCAGACTACAAAATACTGGAGATAAAAATTATTAAAAGGCATCTGCATAACATTCAAACTTGGGTTAAACGGTCATAGATGTGGTATAAGAGTCTCTGTGATCATGTTGCCAGGAATTTGACCTTTACCTCTACCCTCCTTACAGTAATTTGTAAACAAATTGTAAATTCAGCACAAGGTCTGTTTTTGGATCAAGTTATTGTGAAAAACAATCACATTTTGTTCTTGCAGCACCACGACAGAGTTTTTAGGGTCTACATAGAAAACCAAATAATTTTTTCCTAAAATGTCCAAAGAAAACATGCAGATTAGAAGCCCATCAAACTGTAAAGGGTTTTTCCTGAGCGTGCGTGCGTATTAGAAGCCCTGGTGGGATAAGTTTTTTGTCATTGTTGTGCATGTTAGAGGTAAAATTCACTCATGGGCAAACCCTCATCTTAATACCGGAAGCCCTTCTTCCAAATCAGTCTTTGACAAAAACACTCATACCCAATTTCAACATTTTCACTCTATCAAAGGTAGGTTACTTTACAATGCCGGAAAAGAGTCCCATGTGGATACTCTTTTCAGCATTAGCATTGAAAATCAATCAAACACTTCAGCTACACTGTTTAGATAATTTGTTAACCATTAAATATGTGCAAAAGACAAGAGTTTTGAAAATAATCAGAAGGAACGGCAAATTACAGTACCTTTTCGACCAACTCTGTAAATTCCAGTTTTGAAAATATAGTACTTATCTTCACCTGCCACACAAATTTTCAAAAATAAAAAATACAATAACTTTTTTTGGCGCACCAATAGTATGTTAACAGAAACTGTCATTAACCTATAATCCTACAAAAAAGAAGTAAAAAGATGTATAACAGTTTCTTATAAGAACAATATTCGTTCATTGGACAAAATGGGTACCTGAAAGAGGATCAACGGGGAAGAGTCCCCACACCATGATTCTTCTTTGTGAAACTCTGAAGCACTGAAGAGCGAAGGGAGAAAGTAAATGATTGAAAAGGAAGAACTTAAGGTAAGTGCCGTTTGTTTTCCATTCAAAACGGCAAAAAGTTTATCAAGTTCACAACTGAAACGACGTGCCGTTTTTAATTTGCTTAAAATGGTCCTTAAGGAAATATTTTAAATTCATAAAACAAAAAATCAAAATTAAATATAATAATACTTATTATACTAAATCGACTATTCATACAAATTAAAACTAATCAACTATTTTTCAAGAACTCATAAAATATTTAATCTTTTATTTTTCATAAATAAAGTAATGTAAACTTCCTCTATTGATATATGATAGGTTTAATTCAAAATTAAATTAATGATATAGACTTCATTATATATTAAAATGATAGAGTCTTCAGCCAAACTCGACAACGTTCGTTACTTCATAGTTTCTCATCAGTATTAGTATTGGGTGTCAAACAGTGTTGGTTTTTAAAAGGTGTTCGGCCTAGAGTCTTAGTACTCGGCCTAGGCTTCGTGGCGTCCGGTTTGAACTCTTAGGGGTCTGTTTATTGAAGTGGATAAATTCGTAAATAGTGTTCGGTCATGTTAGTTTCTAAGAAGTGTTAGTCTAGTCGTACTTATGTTATGATGAGAAAGTGTGATCTTATTTCAATTGAATATTTTGATGATGAAGTATAAGAGAATTTGAAATGTGATGTGAATGAAATAGGTTGGTTATGAAAGAGTATTCCAGGGAGGAATATCTCAGAAAGTGGTTATTGATTGGTAAAGTATGAATGTGGGCAAAGCTTAGCGGGCGTTTATCCTGATATTCCTTGATTACTCATTCTCACTTAGAGAGGAGTAAGTCATGTGTGGGAATGTTATGAGGTCCTAGTCCATAAGGTTAACTTGGACGGAACGGATTAACCTTTGGTTTCAGCTGTTGAGGGTATCTCATTTACTACATCACCCGGGTGCACAAACGTCGTAGCTACACAGGATTCATACAGTCCGGACAATCAGAGTCAAGTGGTCGGTCTTTATATGCACTTACGTATGAATTATGATTTGGTGTGGTTGATTTAATTATGAACATTGTATGTTGTTATTGAATTAATTAAATTGCATAAGCTTACCTTGTTTATCATTTTTGTCTGTGTTGTGCGTTCGGTTGTTGTCCTGTTGCAATGATCATCCATGTGGATGTGAGCAGAAGGAGAAGAGCTGCTGGAACAAACATTGGAAGAGGCAAAAGTGAAGGTCGAACCTTAGGAACGTTCGGTCAGTTGTTGGCTCCACCTTTTGTAAGACCGTTCGGTACAAGTTCACTTTGTAAACCGTTCGGTCTAGTTGTAACTAGTGTGCGGTTTTAATTTCCCTGCTATTATGTAAGGTCGTTCGGCCATGATAGTATCTCGTTGTATGTAGAACTGATCTGTGGTATTATTAATATGTGATTAGTCTCGTATATGGTTTTATACTGTATTACGGCAGCCAACAACAGCTCCTGTAGACCCTGCTGCCACCACCGACCACTGCAACTTCAATCCTTTCCCTTCATCATGTATGCCATTTACACCTCTATCAATATTCTCAAAAGTCTCAACCGCCTTCTCATTCAACAATAAAATCACCCTCTCAGCTTCCTTTACTTTCTCACGCAATTGAAGAATACTTGATTCCAAAGCCGCTACTTTCTCCTCAGATTCTCTAAGTGCCTCCTCCAACTTCAATTTCTGCTTAACTGACTCTTCCAACTCAGATTTATTTTCTCATCAGTAACCTTCTCCAATTCCACCAACTTCTGTTTGAAACCATTGATCTCCTTCTCCTTTTCATCAACCCTATTTCTCATGTCCTCCTCAAACCTAATCCTCTAGTTCCTTTCCTTAATTTCCTTGGTTTCAGAACTCCAATCTTTCTCTCCAAATCCCTAACCCTAATCGCACCCTCTTCCTTCACCTTCTTCAAAGCTGTCAGTTCCTTCCACAAAGACTTAACCAATGACTCCTTCTCCCCTAAATCCTTCCTCAATTCAGAAGCATCCGCCCTTGCCTCCTCCGATGCAGTCATCTCCGATATCAAATCGTGTTGTAGCCTCGCCACATCTGTCTCCAGGTCCGCTACCTTTGCCGCGATAACCTCGACCGAAACAACATCCTTCAAATCAACGTTTAATCAGTGGAAAATGTAGAAAATGATGTTTCAATCGGTGGAATCGAAGGTAAAGGAGAAAAAGATGAAGGTATGTGAGAAACCCTATCAGTGGATGTGGTTGGATGATGAGTGAAGCAAAAATGCAGAACTATGAAGAGAAATGGAGACTTACGGCCTAAGAACTCTCGAGAGAGAGAGTGAGAAGCTGCAGATGCTCGCGAGAGTGAAACGAGTGAATCTGTGGAAATGAGAGTCTTTCTCGCGAGAGAGGAAATGTTGAATGAAGATGTGTCTCTTGTGATGAAGTTGGGGTTTATGTGTCAAGATAGCGTCAAGCAAGCGCCTGTGGATGGAGTCAATACCGCCAAGCAAGCGTCGAGAAAGAAGGAATAAGTCTTTAGGTGTTCACAAGTAGAACGCGAGAGATATTAAAAACCAGGCATAATATATTATCCAAATTTTTTGCCCACGTATTATAACAAATGTTATAACTCCGTTATAATATGTTTTGAACTTATTTATAAGTTTGTAACCGTTATAATATGTTTTGAATTTATTTATAAGTTTGTAACCATGTTTTTATATTATGACTGATATTTATAATTGTTATAATATGTTTTGAAATTATTTACAAGTTTATCATCATGTTATATATTATGACTGATTTTTATAGCTACGTTATAATATGTCTTAAATTTATTACAATTCTACGACCGATCAATCTACTATGGTCAATAATTTTTATCCATCATATAATAGGTCGTCATAAAATGTCATTTTCTACTAGTGTATATTCATATTATTATCGCATGCAATGGGATAGTTGAGCATACAATTTTTTGACATAATAAATTGCTTTAGTATTTTTATAACTTTCATGTTACACATAATGTGGTATGATGTAAATTAAATGCTTTTGTCAGATGTTCCACTAATAAATATGTCAGATGTAAATTATATGGAAAATGTTTCTTTGACAACAAAATTTTGCAATTTCAATGGTTGATTTTTGCCTTTGCTCGTCACTCTCTCTCGTCTTCTTCCTTTTTGCCTTTGCTCGTCACTCTCTCTCAACCATTGAACAACGCTCATCGTCACTCTCTCTCGTCTTCTTCCTTTATGTCTTTGCTCGTCATTCTCTCTCGACCATTGAACGACGCTCTCATTCCATCATTTGAGTTGATTTTTTCTCTCTCGTCTTCTTCCTTTTTGCCTTTTCTCTTCACTCTCTCGACCATTAAACGATTCTCTCAGTCCTCCATTTGAGTTGGATTTTTCTCTCTTTGCACGTCGCTGTATCTCCACCATTGTCCGCACATTTCTCTCTTTGGACGTCGCTCTCGCTCCATTGGTTGCAGTTGCATCTCCATTTCACTCTCGCTCCATCGCATTGTGGTTGGCGTTATTTTAAAATGACAACAATCAACTCATTTGGAGTTCGGTGAAGAAAGTTATGAGCAGAACAACCAACATAGGTCAAAGGTGACATTAATGTATAAAACGTTAACTTTAAGGAATTAACTGCACCTACTAAGATGCCCAAAAATCACAAATTAGTAATCATTGGAAAGAGTTTTTGAGTCTATTTTCTAATAAAAAAAGAATCACGTCATTTGGAGGTTTATGGGAAAAGTTATGTTTAAAATAGTCAGCAAAGGTCAAAGTTGCAGCATGTTATCTCACTCAAATTTCCTTTGGGGAGTAATGTTCTCATAGCTGGGTTCAAGACTTAGCTAACATCATCATCACACCAACATTGGGTCTTTCCCCCACCAAGGACGGCCCAAAACCTAGCCTTCAGGCTCTACTCACACTTAAACATTAAAAGGAACTCTCATCTAGTCAAGAAATATGAAAAAATTACGTAAAATGTCTTTGGCTACTTATGTGGCCACAACTGGCTCCTGCCGCACAAGTTTTTGTACAAAACCAGATTTTTGTTCGTGTAATCGTTTACGGGGTCCTTGTAATCGATTACAATTGCCAAAAAGGCCTACACTTGATTACCAAGGCATAATTTGAAAGGTCTTTGAGTATAGATTCCAACAAAACAAGAATCAACTCATTTGGAGTTCGGTGGAGAAAAATAAGAGCAAAACCACTAGCAAAGGTTAGAGTTGGCAAGAATATATAAAGCGTTAACTTTAAGGATTAAACTGTACCTACTCAAATGTCCAAAAATTACAAATTAGTAGTCATTTGAAAGCTTTTTGAGTATAGTTTCTAATAAAACAAGAATCGCATCATTTGGAGGTCGGTGGGAAAAGTTAGCATTAAAATAGCCAACAAAGGTCAAAGTTCACAACATGTTAACTTGGTCATGACACCAACATTGGGTCTTTCCTCCACCAAGGGCTTCCTAAAACCTAGTTTTTAGGCTCTTCTCACACTTAAACATTAAAAAGAACTCTCATCCATTCAAGAAATATGAAAAAATTACGTAAAATGTCTTTGGTTACTTATGTGTCCACAACTGGCTCCTACAGCACAAGGTTTTGTACAAAATCATATTTTTGTTCGTGTAATCGTTCATAGGGTCTTTGTAATCGATTACAATGGCCAAAAAGCCCTAAAATTGATTACCAAGGCATAATTTGAAAGGTCTTTGAGTCTATATTCTAACAAAACAAGAATCAACTCATTTGAAGTTTGGTGGAGAAAGTTAAGAGCAAAACAACCAGCAAAGGTCAGAGTTGCCAGGAATATATAAATTGTTAACTTTAAGGAATAAATTGTACCTACTCAAATGTTCAAAAATTATACATTAATAGTCATTGGAAATCTTTTTGAGTCTAGTTTCTAATAAAAAAAGAATCGCATCATTTGGAGGTCGGTGGGAAAAGTTATCATTAAAATAGCCAAGGTCAAAGTTCACAGCATGTTAACTTGGTCATGACACCAACATTAAG